CACTTTGGATGTGCTGACCCCTGTGATTTCCCCAAATGTGGGAAAATCAACTGCCTAAGTGAGGGGCTGTGTTTATGGTTTCCCCTGGTCTTTCTAGAATCACCCTTTCCCCTTTGGTCCTTGGCTGTTTTCACTGCCTGCTGCCATAGGCCTGTTGGCCTTGCTGGTTTTCCAGGTGGGCTGCAGGAAGCAGATCCTGGAAAGCTAGCAGTGCAGAATGGTGAGGTCCAAACAGCAAGCAGTCTCTGGTGCCAGTTCAGAGGCCTCCTAGCATGGCAGTGGGAGGCTTCTGGGTGGTGGTGGCTGAACCCTTTTTTTATTGTATTTACTCCATGAGACGCACATACTTTCTCCCCCTCTATTGGGGGGGGAAGTGCATCTTATGGAGCGAAAAATACGGTACTCCTTACCTATCTGTTACCTTGGCACAGAACGCACACGCTGCATATACAGTGGTGCCTCGCTTAACGACGATAATTCGTTCCAGCGAAATCGCTGTAGAGCGAAAACATCGTAAAGCGAAAATAAAAACCTATTGAAATGCATTAAAACCCGGTTAATGCATTCCAGTGGGCTAAAAATTCACTGTCCAGTGAAGAGCCTCCATACGGCGGCCATTTTCGGTTCCTGTATAGCGAGGAATCCGTCCCTAAGCACAGCGGGGAGCCATTTTGAGCACCTGGTGGCCATTTTGAAAACCCAACGATCAGCTGTTTTGATCATCGTAATGCAAAGAATCAGTTCCCGAAGCAGGGAACCAATCTTCGCAAAGCAGAAAAAACCATTTAAAACATCGTTTTGCAGTTGCAATTGCAAGCGCAAAAACATTGTTGTGAAGCGGATTCGTCGTAATGTGGGGTAATCATTAAGTGGGGCACGACTGTATAAAATTCATGGAGGGACACGGTTGATAATACTGCAAACCATTTAGACAAACTAATCCGGGAATACATTTCACTGAATTCAGTATGATTCCTTCTGATAGGCTCACACAAAATTGCAGTGGAGGTGTTTTGGCCTCTTATCTGTGGTGAACCCATGAAAGGAATGCAAAATGCTTCTTTATCACGAGTATGTAAGTGATCCTGTCTGCCCACATACTCACAGGGAAATGGACTGAGTTTATTGATGCCTACTCCTGTGTTACGTAAACTACATTTGTCTCAGTTAGATTTACTATTGAGTTAGTAAGTACAGAATTGCAGATTTGTCTCATGGGAATAAATTTTGTTGAATTGAATGGTGTGCTTTCTGAAGTAAACAATACTGGCTCGCTTTCTAAATGTCTGAAGAAAGAAATGAGGAAAGTTTCTTTGGGTTTAAGTGGCCTCAAGGCATTATGGAAAGGTTTTCTCATTCCTTCGCAGTATGTCCATCTCTCTTTCTCCCCATCTCACCCCTGTGCCTTCTCTTTATTGCTCTGTGGTATCCACCTCCACTCTGTCCATGATCTCTTTCTCTGTTTGTTCAGTGACACATTGTTCATGTGTTAAGGCTGCAAGCCTAGTATACCCTTTTGTGCAGAGTTTTTTTTTTTATTAATTTGATTTTTATACTGCCCAACTGGCTACCAAGGCCACTCTGGGCAGTTTACATGAGTAAACTTCATTCATGTCAGTGAGATTCAAGTGCTTAGCTTCCTGAAGTACTAGCAAGAATCCTGGCAAAAGTTACAGAATAGTACAGCGTGTAAAGTCAAAATTTAATAGGTGGTAAGTTGAGTAACTCCCTACAAAAAGGCAACAGAACTAATTTTCTGAAAATACTTAGTTGGCAATTTTGGAACATAGTCTCTAAGCCTAATGGAAATTTAAAGTCTGACATTTAGTCATTAAGAGGTGTTTGATGGATAAAAATCAACCTTTGTTGATAGATTGCTCTTCTTGTATTATTTGATAATTGCTGTGCTTTGAGGGTGTTGATAATAGGCCAACCTCTCCCTAACCCATTCTCTGTATAACAGTGTAACTGCTTATTTCTTTCCCAGTGGCAAGAATGACATGCTGGATGCAGTAGGTACCCAACCTTTTAGGACTGCGTAACGGCTGGGGGGAGTGAGCTCCATGAGCGGGGGGCACCCCCGCGCTCATACAGTGGGCATGTTGTGCCTGTGGGAGGGCGTGTTGTGCTTGCACGCATGTGCATGAATGCAACGTGCCTCCGCCAGCATGTCACGCCTGCTGCGAGCATGACACGCCCCCCGCGTGAGCTTGGGGGGGGGTGTCGAGATCCGTATCTGTGGCCCAGCTCCAGTAAGCCCATGGACTGGCATTGGGCCATGGGCCTGCAGTAGACGATGTCTGTGTTGAAGCTTCTGATTTTGTGTTTTCATTTGTTAAGATTAGATTGTTGATTCATGATCTTACTTTTTTTTCCCTTTCAGGTTAATACTTTAAACAATGGCAGCAGAAACTCAGACACTTAACTTTGGGCCTGAATGGTGAGTTTCCTATAACATGTGTGTCTATAAATAAGAATTTGGTATAGCTGACTATTTAAAAAACTTAAGTTGATATTTCACTTTTACGCCAAAAAAAGTTTAAAGGACCTAACAGTAGTAACCACAAATGATAGCAAATTTAATATTTACAAAAATTATGAAGAATCATAACATTATTAAGTAGCAACCAAACGTAAATGCCAAAGATGAAATGAAAAGCTCATTAAGATCCACTGCCTCTGGTGGTGAGTGAAAAAGCATATATAAACTATTTGAGCAATGTTTTTATTACAACTGGTTTACTGTAACTCTAGTTCAGTCTAAGAAAAAGGATCCTCTGCCCACTATGAGAGTGAGAAGCCTCCCATTCTGCGAGGATGTATCTGTTAGAATACATATGAGCTATCTGATTCCCAACAGTATCACCTCTATTCTCTATTCTCTGATATATGATGGAATATGATTGGCTGAGTTTTTAAAAAGATGGACATTATGTCTGTGGATTACTTTAGATTTTTTGCTGTTAGAGAAGTGTAGTTATATGTTAGAGATACATTGGCACAAATCTTGTTCACATAAATTTATTTTGCAGAAGCTGATGATCTCATCAGCTTGCACCATTAAAATTGTTTTAAATTAATTCAGTGCTTCCTATCCCCTTATTTTGGGTTTTAAGGCTCCCTAGGGCTCCCTTTTGCCCTGTGGAAGCCTTTGGGAGTCTTGGGACTTGGGGGTAGGTTTCATCACCAAAAATTGTTGCCAGGTTATTGGGATTGGGACTGCTAGTGATTTTTGGCAATTAAATGCTCTCTGTACTTGCCAGAAGGCTTGCCTTTGAGAGCCTTTTGGCAGTTAAAGGCTCCCAAAGGCTTCCCCATGGCAAAATCGAGCTCTAAGGACCTCAAACTTAAAATGTGGGGAGAGAAAGCATTTAATTAATTTAAAATAAATTTTAGTATGTGAACTCATAATTTTACTGTTTCTTCCACAGAAAGTTGTGCTAGCAAGATTTTGGCCATTGTTTTTCTTCTTGTCTTTCACTTTTATATACTGTGAAATGTTTCAGTAGTAATAAATCACATGATGGAACAGGGGAAGAGAAATGTTGACAAGGCGCTAAGGAAGTAGGTGAAAGCCTAGGCTATTTCTTCCTTTTCCTGTGACAGCTACAGTGTGCAGCAGAATCTAGCTGCCCTGTCTTGCAATCGTATACAGTGGCCAGGATCTTGTTTAGTCTAATGGCTTGCACAATGACTGTAGCAGGAGTGATTTCAGATCTCTGGAACTTGCATGAGGAGGTAACTGGGACCTTCTTATGTAAGTGTAAGTCGCATCTTTGTAACAGAACTGTCCAGTAGTGCTTGTGCATATAGGAGGTCCTGAGTTACTGATCCTATGGGCTTATGCTCCACTAGTGTCGAAAAGCACTGCAGCCTCTTTAAGGAAGACGTACTGCTCCCTGCTGACTTGCACATGGAAAGAGTCTTGAGGCATGCCCTTCTTCTAGTGTCAAAAAGCACTGCAGCCTCTTTAAGGAAGACATACTGCTCCCTGGAAAGAGTCTTGAGGCATGCCCTTCTTTTATTAAGATCCATTTACAGTGAAAGTGATCAGATGTACGAAAGGCAGAATGGACAATGGTCACCTTTACTGATCTAAATAAAGATTGCCTTATCTTAAAATACCTGGCTAGATAGCTCAATGGTTTAGGTATCTGGCTGTGGAACCAGAGGTTGGGAATTTGATTTCCCACTGTGCCTCCTGTGAGTAGAACCAGCCTGTATGGCCCTGGGCAGGCTATATAGTCCCAGGATGCCCCCAGATGAAAGGAATGGTTATGTATTCTGTACCTGGAAAAGCCTGGAAAGGGTCACCATGAATCAGAATTGATTTGACAGCACATGATGATGATGTTAAAATAAAATTACTGTCAGTATTAAAAGATTGCCTTTGTGTAAATTATTTTAATCAGAAAATGATTCATGCTGTAAACCTTTAAAGAGTCTTATTTTTCACATAATACTTTTTTTAATGACAGATTTGCATACTTTGCAGCACATTATCCAAACGATAAATATTTTGTACTTCACTGAGATATTTTTCTTGTGCTTTTCTGTTTTCTACGTTACTTATCAACATACAGATATGGTGCAGATGTATTGTGAACTATGGTTTCAAAATCAGGAATCAGCTTTAGGAAAACATACTCTTATCCTTTCCAAAATAAATTTCAACCTCCTGTCCTGGTATTGAACATAGTTTTGCTTTATGGATGCAACAGTGTAAACCACGCTAAATGCAAACCAGATAGGTTGACCAAAATCCTGTTAGTTAGGCCTAGAATTATGCATAATACAGACAGCATAACCTCTAGCAGTGAATTGCTACAAGGTAAGAAGTTGTGTGCTGAGTTGTGCACCTTGGCATGCAGCAAGTAATGTCTGTGCTGATTCCTTAATCTGTAGCAGTTTGCCACTGAAGAAGTTGTGTGATGAGTTGTGCACCTTGGCATGCGGCAAGTAATGTCTGTGCCGATTCCTTAATCTGTAGCAGTTTGCCACTGAAGTTATACATTTGCATTAGGGCAGCCTAAAGTAACAAAAGCATTTTTGACCAATGATTTCATTCTTGGGTTTATTAGAGAACCATGGTTTGGGTTGGAAAGAAGTTCCCATTTCTGTATCCATTGTGATGAGTTGTGCACCTTGGCATGCGGCAAGTAATGTCTGTGCCGATTCCTTAATCTGTAGCAGTTTGCCACTGAAGTTATACATTTGCATTAGGGCAGCCTAAAGTAACAAAAGCATTTTTGACCAATGATTTCATTCTTGGGTTTATTAGAGAACCATGGTTTGGGTTGGAAAGAAGTTCCCATTTCTGTATCCATTCACTAATACAGTGGACCCTCGACTTACAGACGGCTCGACTTACAGACTTTTCGAGTTATAGACTTCTCTGGCTGCAAAATTTAGATTGCTGTATCCATTCACCAATACTGTATATTAATGTACTTCCTATCACTGGGAAACAAGGAGGGCACCATTTGCCCTTCATGTTCTCTCTGGCATTAGCTACATTTAAGAAAGATAGAGCTGATATAAGGCAATATCTGTAAAGTTCTTGTTTTTTTATTTTTACATAATGCACTTACTAGGATTGAAGTCTGAAGACGGAAGAAAGCCCGATATTGGCCCTGTTCCTACCCCTCCCTACATTTGCTCTCTCTGGAAGTGAAGTCTTGTCTTTTCCTGTGCACAGTAAAGGTGGCTGAGAGATAGCATAAGGGAGGAGACTTGAGAATCCCTTGTTCTTCTCATGCTAATCTTCAATTTGAAACTGCAAATTCAAGGATATAACTAAAGATGGGAATAAACCACAGTTCAGCAGTTTGGCCCAGTTCGGTGCTGCGCCTGGACATGTGTTCAGCGCGTGCTGCTCACTTCCCTCCCCAACCTCTTCAGCGTGCTGACCCATTCCCTGGCCAAAGCGCACTTTCCTGCCTGAGGTTCTTGGCACATTTGCCTACTCAGCAGTTGAAGTGTGAGCTTTGCTCTTCTGCCTTCTCCAGTGGCTGCCCACTCAGATAAGGATGCAGGGCAGGGAAGCCCTCTGCACTGCCTTTGAGTGGGTGGCCACCAGAGGAGGAGGTGGAGGAGGAAGGCGCGCACTGTGATTGGTGATTAGGCAAACACTGAGGAGGCAGGGAGGGAAGTATGCTTTGGTCAGGGAATGGGTGAGTAGAGGAGGTGGACGAGGAGAATGTGTGGCAATTTTGGAACATGTGTGTAAGCGCTGCGCTGAACTACCAAACACTGCTTAGTGCTCATCTCTAGATATAATAGCAACCTCACTCCCAAAAAGCTATTTGAAATGTGTAATCCTAGTAAATGTGCTCAGATTAAATCAGTATAAAATTATAAATTAACTTTTAATAGATTATGGAAAAAAAACAGTATAGCCTGAAATGTTATGCATGCAACAGTGTAGTTTTTGCAATTTGCTGCCTCTCAGTTGAACACCTGATTAAGTGACTGATCAGGTAGGTGCCCATTGTAAAATTAGAGAACTATGGGGTGTGTGACAGCTGGCAAACTGACACGCTGTTGTTTGTATGGTTACAGCTGTGAAATCAAATATTGCAGTAGGATTCTGTCCACCATATTTCAATAAAAATACATAATACATATTCTCTGTTTTAATTATAGGGGAAGATTGTGATTTGACTGGGTAATATAACTGGTCTGTTATTTAACTGATGATAACTATTTTGTTTTCAGAATGCCTATTAAACTTTTGCTGTTTGAATTACTTGTCTGAAACATTCTAAGATTCTTGTTTTGATGCTTTTCATACTTCCCATTACAGTGGTGCCTCACATTACGATTGCCCCGTTAAATATGAAACCGCATTACGATGAACTTTTTGCGATCGCTTTTGCAATCGCAAAACAAACTATTTTGTTTTCAGAATGCCTATTAAACTTTTGCTGTTTGAATTACTTGCCTGAAACATTCTAAGATTCTTGTTTTGATGCTTTTCATACTTCCCATTACAGTGGTGCCTCGCATTACGATTGCCCCGTTTAACTATGAAACCGCATTACGATGAACTTTTTGAGATCGCTTTTGCAATCGCAAAACAATGTTTCCTATGGGGGAATTTCGCTTTGCGATGATCGGTTCCCTGCTTCGGGTTTTAATGCATTTCAATGGGTTTTTTCTTTTTGCATTACGACATTTTAATTCTACAACGATTTTGCTGGAACGAATTAATGTCGTAATGCGAGGCACCACTGTATACTTATTTGGTCTGATTGGTAGTTCACATAGGTAAAGTTCAATCATATAGCAGCCACATGGTGGCAGCAAACTAATACAAGATAATTCTAGCTGGTTAGCTAAATGACTGTATTTTCCCAATCAGTAGAGATAGAATATCTGAACAAATACATGGGAAAAGCTTTATCATTTTTATGTCTTGTGGTTATTGTAGTTTTTGAGCTTTCTCTGCCTACTACTTCAGCAGATAATTCTTAGTCTGATGTATCATAATAGCATTTGATCCAAATTCAGTTATGTTTTAAGTGGACCCATTAGAATCAGTCATATCATAATACCATTTGATCCAAATTCAGTTACGTATGTTTTAAGTGGACCCATTAGAATCAGTAGGCAGCTGAGAAATGGCTAATTTAAAGTACCATTGTTTAATGGATCTACTGTAATAATGACTGGTTCTGGATCCAACCCATACTTCTTATGAAATCAGGTAGTCTGAGTGAATGCTGAATCTCAGCTGAGTTACATTTAGAAACATAAAAACATAGTGGCTGAAATCCTGTTGCTTAGTGTGATGGGTTGTATTAGAGTTGGTCCACTGAATCTGTGGGGATTTAGTGAGCCAAATCCTCCATGAGTTCCATTGAGTCAAGTGGGTCTACTTTAGTTGTGATTTACTATGCTAAAGTAAGTTGCAACTAGTATAGGCTCATTTGAATTAATAGAATTTATGGAGGAGTCGACTCACCAAGTCCCCATTGATTCAATGGGCCTACTCTAGTGCAATCCACCACAATAGGCAACAGGATTTCAGCCAGTTTCATCTTAATTAGAATTGTAGAGCTGTATATGTTAAACTACAATATATATATCCATATAAATAAACTACAGTCCTTAGCAGTCAGCTGCTATTGCTTGCAGACGATAGCTGAATCTGAGGTTCTTGTTCATAAGTGTGGTTCAGCATGTAGTCCTGAGCTGTCAGAATATAAAACATAGACGCCAGGAAGCAAATGCATCTACTGTATGTCTTCATAATCTTCTATTTCCCCTCTTACTGTGAGATGCTACACTCATATCCATTGTATTATGTGGTGATCATAGTAGTCTTAATCCAGAAATCATAGCAAATTATGACTAGAGCATCTTCAAAATGGAGGAAAGAAGCCATATTTGTGAACAGGGCTCAGAAGCCTGTAGTAGATTCCCATGTCACTGTTTAGAGGATTGTTTTTGTGGAATTGATTATACTGTAAGAATTAAAATAAAGGAGAAACATTAGATTCTGATTTGGGAAATACATTGGCTGAAATCCAGTTGCTTAGTATAAGCCAAATTGTAACTTTTGGTCTGTTCCTACCTGATAAGCAAACTGCCCTTGCTGTGATTCTTGGGGGAATAATTCCTGTAACTCGGTAATTCACATTGTGAGTTCAGATACAACTGTAGTATATTTGTGGGCCCTGGTTAGAATGAATCATGAATACAAGATTGCATGGGATACTTTTTATACATTTTGGGTTTGTTCAAGCTTCCATACTATTCTTTCTTCAAGAGCTAAGAAGCAGCAGGCAGGATGGAGACATGCTGCTTTAATGCTGCAATCCACTGTAGAGCAGGCTGTGAGGGTAAACAGCCTGGTAAAAGAAAGGAAGAGATAGCATTTCTGTTCACTGTGGAATGCTTCCTGCATGCTCAGCGAGTCTCTCTAACTTTCAAAAGATGTTGTTGAAACCTTTTAACTTTAACCTCTGACAATAAGAATCAGTGTTCATGGTTCTTTATTAAACAGAGCGTCCTCTGACAGACTCACCAGTATTGGTTAATTCTTTAGGGTCCAGGGTACAGTAGTCTCCCAATTCCAAAATGACTGTCTGAGATAAAAGTACCAAGAAACTAAAGACAGTTATTTGACAACACGGATATGAATCTTGAATGAGCAAGGAATGGGAGATGCATATCTGAAACATCAAATTTTCCATTATACAGTATTACATTTTTCAATATCAAATGTTGTTTCTGTCTCATAGTTTTGCTTTTTTTAACTAAGATTTCAAAGAGCAACTGAAGTGCAAGCAAGGAGTTTCTGCTGCCAAACTAAAGCCCTTGTACTTTGAACAAATAATATCAAAAGAATATCTGAAACCTCTTCAGATGTTAAATCTTCCCATTTTTACAACATCTATGCCCAAAGATTTCTGGAGGACTGTGAAGTTTACCTTTTTTTGTAGATTTCTTATGATCGAGTATAGGTGTAGACTATTAAAAATAGAATATGAATAAGAATAGGATAAGAATGGTGAGAGTAATAACTTCTTTTCACATCATACAGCACTTAGAAGAGTACAGCTCCATGTTCCCGGAGTCATTACCATCATATTTCAGAATCCCTCTGAACACCAAGGCAAAAGAACATTCGGAGCATAATAGCATTGCAGCAGCCTGAACTATAGGTGGCCTCCTGTTGTTTAATGGCCAGGTATTAAAAACAAATAGATTATAATATGAGCAACCTTGGTCCTTCTGGAGCACTTAAGAGCCACTACTTGCCAGAGTGTGGAGTCATGCGTCATACTTCTCACTTTTGCACAGTTGCTGTTTACCATATTATATAGGTAACCATAGTGAAAATATACATATGTATTCTTGAAGGCTTTCACAGCCGGGATCCGATGGTTGTAGGTTTTTTGGGCTGTCTGGCTGTGCTCTGGGCACAGACAGAGGTCTGACTCCTGTCCTCTGAAGATGCCGGCCACAGAGACCATCAAAACGTTAGGAAGAAAAACCTCAAGAACACGGCCAGACAGCCCGAAAAACCTACAACAACCAAAATATGAATAATTTCAGTATGCTAGGTAGGGCCTTTGCTCTATTTCCCTGAAACAAAGTCAGATTAAACAAGTAGCTTTAGTCATAGTGAAATCCTAAGTAGAAGCAACCTAAACAGTACCCATAAAAGCAGAATTAATCATAACTTTTTAATGTGATAGTTATGACATACAGTGAGTTATGAAATGCATTTAAGAGTCTGACGTGAGTGACAGTTTTCAACCAAAGCTTTTTCATTAGCTACTTAGATATTTCTGTATGACATCTCTTGTTTTCAGGTCTGGTCTTGTGGCAGGATGAAGTATTTATAAAATACTGAGCTGTCTTAATTTCCACTCCTTTATTTTCCACCTTATAGGCTACGAGCTCTGTCTAGTGGTGGGACTGTGACATCTCCCCCTCTCTCTCCAGCTTTGCCAAAGTATAAATTAGCAGATTATCGTTATGGGAGAGAAGAAATGCTAGCACTTTTTCTGAAAGATAATAAGGTAAGTAGGCAGAAGAATGATATTCTAGTATGGAATTCACGTGTAATTTTACATATAGGTGAATAAATCATAAGAGCGTACTTTGTTTAGTAATATCAAGTGCTAAAGAACATTAAAAATCTTGAACTGAAATATCAAATATGTTCTTCATGAAACTTCAACACATATACAGTCACTAGCTGGGGTGAGTTCCATTACAAAACTCTTTGTATAAGGTTTTATTTCTTACATTTCTTTTGGTCAGTGCTGGGGCAGGTCTCACAGTTTCTAGCGATGTTACTATAAGAATAAGAATGGCTTCTCTGTATATTGCAGTTCTTTCCTCTTTCTTATATGGCTGTAGAAAGTTTAAATACTATAAGATTAGAAACTTCCTTCTGTAGCAATAAAAATGTATAATATCTGAATATGTATAGCAGGTTTGTCCAACCCGTGCTCCGTGGGCCGCATGCGGCCCATGTCGGCTTGTAATGCGGCCCAGTGCAATTTTTTATTTTTAAAGAAATTCCAAAGTTTCAAGTTACACTGCCGGCGCTTGTGGC